GCAAATACTTCGAGTATAGATAATTAGTCATAACTGGACTGGAAAACTACTGGGTTGCCATCTATTCAAGATTCATAAATAAAAAAAGTCGAAACAATTACTGAATGTCCTAAGTGTAACAGATTGTAATTAAAATAAAAAAAATATAAAAAATGCTTTTTCTACAAGCCATTATTGATATTTTAGTTCACGAACTATGTACTATGTGGACATAAAAAAATATGTGGGCAATAGGATGCTCATGCAAACCAGATTATGTGAGAATCTTATCGATAATTTGAGACCTATTGTCTAATAGATGGTAAACGTTTCGTAGCCATAATCTCAGAATTGATTTGAAAACGGATAAATTTAAGCTTTTCCAAAAGCTCAGAATTTTTTTTAATAAGAATTTACCGAAACACATTCACAAACAAGTCGATAATTGATCAGTTATCAAATTTATGATAAATTATTGGACTGCTAGAATATATATAACTATAAAATAGGGCTTGTGGTAAAATGGTGAAAGTTTAGAGTTTATGTATGTTTTTAATTTTGGATGGCAAAATTTAAAAAAAAAGTATTGAGTTAGACAACCCTTGATAAAAATAAATTGATTTTTTTTGTAAGATCTAAGCTTTTTCATAATCTCAAAACATCTAAACTAAAATTAATTGAAAAACAATAATTGACTACTAAAATGACTTACGCAATAGGGTTTCTGGTAAGAGGGTGATAATTTAGTGTTTTGATTTTGGAAGTTATATAAAAAATGAGAAAAACATGAGAAAAAAAATGGTCCAAAAACTAGAATTATAAAAAATCTTAAGGGTAGCCAACCCTTATTTAGGGGAATTAAAAATAGATTTTGGCCAAGTAGATTTGACAACTCAAATATTTGTAGATGTATTTAATCATGGTTATTTGTCATTAAATAATGGAAATTTAAATGTAATATATTATTATTTATTATTATTTTATAAGTTATTTATTTATTCAATTAATTCTCCATATCATTCTTTCTCATATTATAATATATTTATGCTATTAGGAATTCTTTCGAAATATTTTTAAACTTCCCGAAAGACAAGTTTATGTTTTCGTCAAAAAAATCCAATTTGCTAATTTTATGTTTTCACGACGTTTCAAGCCATTCTGAATCGAATGAGACCAAATTTGGAAAAAGTATGTGTGTGTGCGTGTGCGTGAACAGATTTTTTGCCGTAAATCGACGTTTTCTCAAAAAACGGCTGGACTGATTTCAAAAATTTAAAAAGCCATTCGATGTATCTCTATGAGGACTATCGTTTCTTCGTAGTGCGACGATCGGCCTAACCGTTTCTTTGTAAATAGTAGAAAAGTGCAAAGATTTTCGTTCACGTTTTAGCCCGCATATCCAAATCGATCTTGAAAATTCTAAAACCGTTCGAAAGATATTGGTTGAGAATCGTGCTGATTAGTTTTGGCAAAGATCGGCCAGGCCGTTTTCTTGTAATAAAGTGTTAATTTTTTTCGACGATTTTCATGAATTTTTTTGGTGATTGGTATCATTGTCTTCTAGATCATACTAAAATATTACGGCCCTACGACAAGTCGTTTAATTTTGAAAATTCGTCAAAATTTGCAAAAATTAGTATCGTTTTGATTTGGCATTTGTCAAAATTAGAACTTTCATCGACGTTTGCTCAAACACGCCTGAACTGATTTCAGAAATTTAAAAACCATTTGTTGTATCTCAATGAGGACTATCGTTTTTCAGTTTAGTGCGACGATCGGCCGAGTCGTTTCTTTGTAGTTTGGAAAAAAGTGTTAAATTTTTTGTCCAAATTTATGCTCATACTATCGAATCGATTTTGAAAAATCAAAAACTGTTCGAAAGATATTAGTTGGGAATGATACTGATTAGTTTTAGGTGAAAATCTACCGAGCCATTTTCTTGTAATTAACTGTTGAAAAATAAATTAAGCCGATTTTTATGTAACTTTTTTGGCGATATATATCATGGTCTTATAGAACTTACTAAAATATTACGGCCTGACGTCAAGTAGTTTAATTTAAAAATACTTCAAAGTTTGAGAAAATGATTAGTGTTTTGACGTTTGTTAAAATTAAAATTAGACGATTTGCTTGGTATAACGATGGAGTGAGTACTTTGTCTTAATAAACATACTGAACCATTAAAGTCCTACGGAAACTGGTTCAATTATAAAAATTGTTGATTTTTGAAAATACAACGAGTTAACGTGTTCGTTCGTTTTCATGTTATGTGTAATAAATCCACTCGGAATACATTTAATCACTCATAAATTAATTTATTTTTTATTGATTTAGTCGATTAGGTCGATGTTCTACATATATCGCGGAAGTTCATGTAACTCGCTTGCAAATACCAATACAACTATTATCATTTTTGTTAAGAATTCGTTTTAATATTTATATAATTACAATATTATTTACTTTATGTGGGCACCGGATATTAGTGCATATTAAGTATTCTTTCTAAAATAGCCTACCTAAATTCGTATTTTTCAATTCTATTATTATTATAATTTTTTTTTAATACAAAAGGATACTGATTATTGCATCAAGTTTTATTTTGATTAAAAATCAATCTACCTGGAAAGGTTTATTGCCACCATCCGAATTAAACGGATTATAGAAATTTTCCTAAGTTCATAATTGTATTGATCAATACAATACACTCGAGTGTATATTTGTGAACTCCAACTTCCAGGTAGTTTTAATAATTTTTATATTATATTTTTAAGTTTAAAAGTTTAGTATTCAGTAAGTTGCAAGATTAAAAACATCTTAAGAAATTTAGCTCGCACAAGTTACTCAAACATTTAATAAAATTTATAGTTTTATGTCTATTGTCGTTTTTTCATTCTAATAATTACAGTGATCACAAGTGTTTAAAAGTATAATAATTAATTTAAAGGCAAAGGCAGCATTAAGCTGTATTCGACGCCCTATCAAATACAATAATAGCATTATAATTATAATATAATAATTATAATTAGTCAGATTTTCAAAAACAGCAGTGAATAAAAAACAAAATATAGAGGATGATTGTCATCATGTAATAAAAGAACATCGCGTCAGCTTATGTATTATAAAAATCATAGATGAGAAATGGAAGCATAAGTTCACGAATTTCGGGTAAGAAATTTTGTTTAAATCAAATCTTCAATAATAAATTAGATTATTATAGGAAACAAAATTAAGTATATATTGCTAGAGTAATTGTAAAATAATAAATAATTTTATCAATTGTTTTCATTCTAGGTTTGACAGCATCTTTAATAAATTCAAATAGCAATCCTCATAACGCGAAGTGCAAATAAATACTTCAGAAATCTAAATCGGATTTACTACAGCAACAATTGATAATATGGAATTTTTTCCGAGGTAAAATGAAATATTTTATTAAATTTAATTTTTGTAAGAACGAAAACTAATTTGAACTAAACATAATCAATTTTAGATCTTCGGCAAAAGGAATAAAACGAGTAGTATTTTATTATAGTCAAGAAACACCAGCACTAATAACGGAGTTGATAGAAGAATCGAATAA